ACGCCGGGACAGGCCGGATCCATGGAGCTGTCCGTGATGGAGCCATCCACGATGGAGCCGTCCCGCTGCAAGGAGCCGCACGTGGCTGCTGCCTCCCAGCCCATCACCGCGGCCCCAGGGCTTCAGAGCCGGGCACCTGGGCCTCTTCCTTCTAAACAACTTCATTTATTTAATGCTTAATTCATTTAATGGCTCAGGAGGCCATCCCATGTGCAGAGCCACGCCGGGCACCGCAGCTTGCGGGTTATCGCAGCAGCAGCAGGTGAGGTTATATGAAAATAAATCTCCAGGTGCCGTTTCCCATCCTCTGGAGCTCCCTGACAGTGCACTGACATAGCCCAGAAATCCCAACTAAGGGCATCCTGAGAGCCTAAAGAGCTTCCCTCTCCCCCAGCAAGGCTGCCCACAGCAAAGCCCTCAAGCACAAGCTGGGACACACGGATGGAGCCGCATTCCTGCTCCACGATGTTCCCTTTCCCATTGGACCAACCCTCCAGAACCCGAGGGGCAGCCCTGGGGCTACTTCATTCCATTTTGACTTTTCACATGTTGCATATAGCAAAAACGCAGGGAAATCGCCCCGTGGCAGATCTCAGGCTGGGACATCTGTGCCTAGCGTCACCTCCTCTCCTTTCGCCAGCTGAAATGCTGAATTTTTTATGGTATATTTTTTTTTAAGCCCTGTCTTTTCAAGGCTTGGTGAGCACACATGCCTGGGTACCCATTGCTCCAGAGTGCCCTCGGATGCTTCAAAATGCAGCTCAACTGCCAGGACCAGGCAAAGGGCAGCCAGATCCCAGCTGCAAATGCATGGAGCCTATTGGAAAAGGGGAAAGGAAGGAAAAGGGGACTGGAGCCAGAATTTCTGGTGCCTGCAAAGCAGCTTTCTCTGGAGCAGAGAGAAGGCAGCGGGATGGAGCGGGAAGCTCCGGGTGAGGAGCCGGGGCCGCGCGTGTGCGCGGGAGCCTCCACTTTAATTGCAGCCGGGCTGCCAAGTACAACAAAACGTGCACAAAGGACAGGAGCCGTTTTTGTTTGAAGGTCGGGATTGTTCCCTTCCCCAGGGGAGCGCGGGCGGCGAAACCCGCTCCTTTACAAGCAATGACTCAGGTGCCGCGCTCTGCCCTGGGCACGCCGCTTGCAAGCCCGAGTAATTTCTGCGCCGGGTTTGGTTTCACGGCTTGGGCCCTAATAATGGGATTATTGTTCGCTTGCGTGCAAAGAGCTCGCTCGGGGTTTTCGCTCCCGCCCGCGCCCAGGGGAGCCGCCGCCTCCGCCGGCGCCCCGCGCGCCCGGCCTTCCCGCGCCCCGCGGAGCCCCGGAGCAGCCCGGAGCAGCCCGGGCCGGGCGGGCACAGCCGCCGGCGCCGAGGAGCAGGGTGCAGGGCACGTCCCAATGCCGGAGCTTTTCCCGGTGGGAATATCAGGCAGAAGGCCTGTGGGCTGCAGAGCGCCAGTACTGCTGCTGCCCTCACCTCGCTGTGCCCTGCAGGAATGGCAGCGACGTTGGGAACAGCACCGACATCGGAGCACAACGACAAGACTTGCTGGAGCAGAGGTGGATGTCCCAGGAGCAGAGGGTCGATGCTTTCCCTTTGCACCATTGCGCTTGAGAGCGGAGAACAGCATGCATGTCCTGCAGGAAAACCCAGTGCCTTTGGGTTTGGGCGGCTTCGGATGTCGCTGTCACCGCTTGCACTAGACACGAGTTGTCACCAGCTCAGGAGACAAAGTGGACCCTCTCCAAGGCCTCCTCCAGCTCTTGGATAGTGGGAAGGATCAACTGGACTGAATCCAAGCAAAAGCAAAGGGCCAGGACGTCTCCCTGCTGTGGGACACGTTGCTGCCAGGTCCCCAGATTGTCCCCACTGTCCTAGGTGCATCACGCCTGCACCTTGCAACCTCCCTGACTGGGCCCAGTGTCCCCACTGTGGGGCTGCGCACGGGTCGGGGACCCTCATGCCCTCAGCTAAGCACTCCATCACTCTCCTTCATTAATGCAGCTTGGAAAACCCAAAAGCATATGTAAAAAAGCAAAAAGCAGCCCACAAACCCACCAGAGGTTTGGGGTTATTTCTGAACTCAACAGCAAGAGTGCACGCACGCTATTTAGAAAAGCCCTTTTCCCTTACTTTGGGCTTTTGAAGTTTTGGATGCATTAAGTTTTTCTCCAGCAAACGCAAAAGTCATTTCTGTTCAAAGCTAAAACTCGACAACCTGCTTTTGCACGTTTGGTACTGAAAAAGCACCAGTCGGGGAGAATTCACATGTGTGGAGAGCACAGCTTGGCACTGGCTCTTCTTCCCAGCCGCTCCCTCTTGCTGGGAAGCCCAGGGAAGGAAGCGCTGGGCCGGGAGCCTCTCCGGCCGCATCCCGGTGCCGCCGGCCGCGTCCTTGGGCTCGGCCCGGGTGCTCCTGGGCGCGAGGGAAGCGGGGGGCACCGCGAGCCCAGCCCCTCCGCCCGGGCACCTTGGCTGCACGTTTGCCCGTGTCGGGAGCTCCGCTTGCACCAACAGCCACTGCTCCCCATGTAATCGGAGGGCTCTCAATCGCAGCGAGCAGTGCATGCACGACCCCGTTCCCCTCCAGGGTGCCAACAGAAAAGGAGGATTTTCACACGTGTTTTCTGCATCACCCTCCTGCCCTTCCTGCTCGTTTCCTACAGGTCCAAGGTACATCATTATCTCAGCTGGCTACATCGAAGTGGGATTAAATGCAGTATGCGATATTGTCTCCCAGCAATCTGATGACAAGGTTGCCTTTAAATGCATAACGTGTTCTTCTGTACCAACTCACACCACACGCCAGAAGTCAAACAAGCAAACGTTGCACAGGAGCCAGCCCAGCCGCAGACACCCCCGGGGCCCCAACTTTCACGCAAAGGTTTTGGGCCACCAACAGCATCCCCAGCGCCGGGCAGGGCTCACCTAGGGGCACAAAGAGCTTTTGTTCTCCATGGCCACAGCCGTTCCCAGGCCGTAGCCTCCGGGGAGGCAGCGAGGCCGGCCTCACCTGCCGTTTCTGGAGTCCCAATGCCCAGTGCTTTTCCTGCTGGATGTTCCCAGTCCCGCACGGAGTCACGCGCTGCAAGGGGCTGCGATGGGATGCATGTCTTCATGGCACAGCGGTCAGGGCAAGTCCTTCTGCAATGCAGCTGGTGATCCAAGCAGCTCTGTTCCCATCCCTGTGCTTCCCAGGGAAGTGGGCATCGGATGCCCGAGACCTCCCAGAGCAAGAGGACATGTTGTCCCCTTGCTCCATCCCTGCCTTCGGGGACTGCAGCGTGCCGCGTTGCTGCAGCACCTGCTACAGCTGCAGCAGAAGCAAAACCAACATGTGCGGGTGCATGCAGGTGCATGCAGTGCATGCAGACACCACTGCATGCAGTTCATGCAGACACCACTGCATGCAGGCGCATGCACACACCACTGCATGCAGGCGCATGCACACACCACTGCATGCAGGCGCATGCAGGTGCAGGCACACACCATTGCATTGCATGCGGGTGCACAGCAGACACACATGAACCCTCAAGCTGGTGCAGGGAGAATCGCAGGCTGCTCTTTTCCTGGAGAACTTGCCAAGGTGGTTTCTTCTGAGTCATAAAGCATTTACCTGGGTCAGGAGCTGGAGCTGGCTGCTTTGCTGCAGGAATTCCAGCGAGGGCTACAACACACGCGCCATGTGCCGGTGGAGGTCGGGCACAGCTGCATTTCTTTGTCTTCCTTTTATTTTCTTTTTTTAAACAAAACAGGCTGCTTTTCCAGTTGAGATGCAGGACCTTCATCAAGCCAAGAGCAATTAAGCTGGAGAAAGGCAGGGGAACGGAGAGGGGAGAAGGAAAGGCATGGAGCCACCGCATCCGAACCAAGCAGTACGAACTCCGAATTGCCCATTTATTGAAACTGATCACAGTTAAAAGGTCAAATCCATTGGCAAACAGCACTTCTGTGTCATCCAGATTGATGTACAGATGAAACACAAAGGAAATTCCACCAAAAAAAATACCCAGACAAAACCCCACAGCGTTAATCAAGCTCAGCCATCCTGCTCCCTTGGGCTGCCTTCCTGCAACCTCTCTCATAGTGGAGAGCTGAGATGTTTATCATCTAAAGCTGTTTATCATCTGAAACTGTTTATCATCTGAAGCTGTTTATCATCTAAAGATGTTTATCATCTCCAGACACGCAGCCCCAGGTCCCCAGCACCAACCTGCTGCAGCCAGGGCTCCCGAGGGACGCAGCAAGCTGGACAACATCCAGTTCCTGGCTCTTCCTCCTAGGGAGGCTCCTTTGCCCCTGGATCGTCACTGGATCAAGCAGCACCCTCAGTCACGAGGGACATGTATTTCCCACCGTTGCTCATCCCTGGAAGGTGGCAGCGGTGTCACCAGGACCGGCACAGACCTCTGCATGGCACCGGGCGGCTGGGAGCCAAGCAGGGCTCATCCCGGAGCCTGGCACGGCTGGAGGCCACGGACACTCCACAAGGTGGGTGAAGGGGCATAGCACGTGTTTCTGGCTCCTTAGGCTGGCTAATTAACTCCCCCTGATAAAGTACTTCACCCTGATGCTGCCAAGGTCCCATTTGGGCCCTTTGTCAAGTCTAATTCAACCCGAGCTCTTCAAAGGCCATCGCAGAGACCACGGGCTAACAGGTCAACCTCGTTTGCACTGCACGCAGCTCTTCAGCAAAGCAGAGGGCTAGTGCCTGTTTAAAACAGCAGCCGTAACCCAGCCGTTGCTGAGGAACACTAGAAACACTGCTGCAAACAGGAGTGCTCCTCTCTCCTGCTTCCCTTAAGGCAGAAAACCCCAAGGTATCGGACACTGCACTGCAGCAAAGCTCCCCTTGAGCAATAGTTTCAAATAAAAAGAAAAAGACATTTCCCTCTTGCAGGCATACTAAGAAAATTCATTTTTTCATCCACTTGGACAATTTGCTTCTGTCACAACAACTAGCACCCTAAAATATTCCCAAGGAGCAGCAGGATATATTAGACCTGCTACTCCACAAAGCGCTGCCTATGTTACCTTTGGGGTAATCCTTCCACCTGCCTTCAAAACCAGGAGTGGACATTGAGACTCTTCAAGGACTTGGCTCCATTCAACCACCTTGGCACTTAACCACAGAGCAGCGCAAACACTCGACAGTGGATTTCTAATCTTCTGCAAAACAAAGATGATCGAAACCAAGAGCAACCTGGCTCAGAGAAACAGCCCGGGAGCCGAAGGGAAAGCAAACTGGACCCTGCAGCCCCGTCAACACGTCTCACCAACAACCCTGCCGAGAGAAAAAGGAAATCTGGTGGCAAAAGGAAACCAGGACCTGCCAGAAGACGCCCATATTTGTGCTTTGAAAACCTTCCACATTATGTTATGGGGGAAAGATATATAAAATTATAGGTAATCAACACCAAATCAGATCAAAAAATATATACAAAGTCTAAAGTATGTCCAGTTCCACGTGCCGCCACACAAATTGCTCTGAAGTCTTCTCCTGGGGAGCAGTGACCTGCTGTTACCCGAGGCCAACGTCCAGGGACATCATCACCACGAAGCCCAAAATTGATGTCCAGGAAGCCAGCTTCCCATTGCCACTGCAAGGAGAAAAGGGCAGGCCGTGAGCTCCTGGGAGCTGGGATGTCCTCCTTTTATTTCCCCGGGTATTTAAGGGTATCCAGCGGTGGTCCCCGGGGTTTCTCACCTGGTTTGTGCCTCGGGGATGATATCATCCATGACCACGTAGACCATGGCGCCAGCAGCAAAGCCCAAGGCGTAGGGGAGAAGAGGCTCTGCCACCACCACGGCGAAGGCACCGAAGATGCCGGCTAAGGGCTCCACCATGCCGCTCAGCTGCCCGAACCTGCGGGGACACGAGGCTCTGGGAACCCTGCACGGGGGCTGCAAGGTCCTCCAAGAGCTCAAAGAGGCTGGGGAAAAGCAGGATCGCATCCTGGCATCCCTCAAATCCCTCAATGAGGCTGGGGAAAAGCAGGATTGCATCCTGGCATCCCTCAAATCCCTCAAAGAGGCTGTGTCGCGGAGGGATGCCAGGACACGATCCTGCTTTTCCCATGAGTTTTCCTCCCTTCTGGATCCACTGCAACAAGCCGAGCTCTCCAGACCATGGCAATTGCCCACCCAGCAGCAGCATTCCCGATGCACGGGCCCATGGGGAGCTCTGCTTACCAGAAGGCTTTCCAGGTGGAAAATCCAGCGCCGCGCAGCGGGAGGCTCACGGCGAGTCCCTCGGGGAAGTTCTGGATGCCAATCCCGATGGCTAAGTTCCTACCCAAATAAATAAATGACAAATATTAAATTTCACATAAACATATAAAAAAAAGAAATGCATTAGGTGGAAAGGACAGGTAAGGATGGGCTGCTGGGGAGCTGGAAGAAGGAAGATGTTATTAAAGATAAGTCTTTTTAATGTAAGTGCATCTCGCCCTGGGGACTAATTGTTCTAATATTTAACATGTGCAGAGCAGGTTTCGCCTTCAAAGAGCTCGAGCTCATTTAATCAGCGTGAGCTGCAGCCTGGGAGCAACAGATGGAAAGAGGAGAGACTTGTCTGGGGCCCGGGGAGGTGTTTCGAGCACAGCGAGGACGTCGGTCCCTCGTGCATCCCGGTATCCTCGGCGGAAGGCTGCCCAAAGCTGCCCTGCAAAGTCAGGGATTTGGCTGCCAGGAGCTCCCTTTGCTGCTCGAAACACTTGTTTCCTATTAGTAAAATAAGACTGGTGAGAAAAAGCTCCCCGGCTTGTTTAAACTGCTGCCGCGGTTTGCAGAGCAGGGCAGGGAAGGGGGGGCGGCCACGGGTTTCCCGGCCCGGGACAGGCTGCTACAATCAAAAACATTATTCAAGGCAAAGAGAGGGAGAGCGGAGGGGGGAACATCCCCTCTGGAAAACACTGGAGCCGCTGTCTGTGCGCGGGGCTCTTTCCTCCTTCCCTCGCCTCCGCACAAAGCAGCTATTACTGGCCCCGACCACAACAAATTGAGGGGGTGGGAGCAGGCGGCGTGAATGGAGGGGTCTGTGCCGAGAGCGGCCACCCGGCACCGGGATTGGGACCGGGATCCCACACGCTGACCCCGTGTGGGATACGGCGCTCCGAAGAGCATCGCGCCGAGCGCGGCTCTCCCGCATCCTCAGTGCCAGGAAGGACCATCTGGCCCTTTTGCACAGCTGGAGGTGCCCACGTCACCTCGTGGCCTCCCCGCGGGTCCCTCCACCTCTCCTGCTTCCCAGAGCACGTGGCCCGGCTGCTCCGGACACCCCGCGTTCCTTGGATGCTTCCTCCCACCCTGGGTGCTCCCGGGACATTGGCACCTGCAGAGCATTGCCCACGGGCCTGGGAATGATGCACCCGGAGCGGCTGCGCTCCCGGTGCCGCAGCCGCCCACCCGCGTGCCCCTCGCACCTCGGGCCGCCCGCGCGCACCGGGCTCGCATAAAGCCGCATTGTGCGCGCGGGAAACAAAGGGCTCCTTATTGCGGAAATAGGTGGGGATTCCTGGAAGGCTTCCCCCTCCTGCAAAGGAACGTGCTGCAAACGCCACGCCGGAGGCACCACGGTAGGAAACGGGGCACACGGAGCCGACGACGGGAGGACGAGTTAACACAACAGAGGGAGAGCGGCTCTGGATCTATGGGTGCAGGTGTCCTTGCAAGGGCCAAGGGGTCCACGTGCATTGGGAATTTTGCCTTTCCCAGCTCCCTGCCTCAGCATCCCCCTTGGCAAAGCGGGGAGGATAACAGGGATTTCCACCCATCAAACGTGCTCACCAGCGGGCAGCACATCCCGGCTGGGCTGAGCTCTGCAGGGCACGGGCAGCTCCCAGCTCCGTGTGCCATCCCCTGCCGCGGCGCGGCACCACGCTGCGAGACGCCGAGCGCGCTCGCACGGCAAACTTGGCATCTCCGCAGATTTGCAAGGTCAAGGCACAGAAAGCCTTCTATAAGCCTAAACCCTTGTTTTCAAGGGCCTATTCTTTTACAGCCTGATTATGAAAGCAGGCTACATATTCTTAACAAGCCCCTTTTCAGCGCGGCTTTCAGCTCCCCGCCGTGTATAATGTGCATGTGTATTCTTGCATGGCAGGCCCTTACATACTGTTTTGATTGTTATCGGCCCGCCATGAAAGGGCCGATTGTTTGGGGTTGCCCAGATTACACGAGGGCTGCGCGGCGCGGGCGCGCGCGCCGTTTGATCCGCGCGCAGGTGGAAGCGGCCGCCGAGCGCCGCGGCCCCGGGCGCCCCCCGCACGGCCCTACCTGCCGGGGGGCTCACGCGAGGCCAGGAGTGCACCGATGCCCGGGGTGCTTGCAGCGGGAGCGAGCGCCCCGAGACACCCGGCGGGTGCATTTCTACGTGCCCCCATGTTAAACTTCGCTAGTTTGCAAATTTTGCGAAAGTTTGCAAAAACAGGCAGGAGGATTTTACTCCCCCTGTTTGTTCTTTCTGTTAACACAGTATCTCCCATCTCCAACCATCAGAATTACTAAAAGCCCAGTGGATACAAGCTCCCCATTGAGAGCAGCCGGTGCCTGGGGCTGCAGAGCCAGGCAGGACCCCAGCACTGTGACCCCTGTATCCGAACGGCACCTGCGGGATCGGCGCCCAGGGCAGGAATACCTTGGATAATGCAGCCGGAGGATCCGGTAGACAGGGCCCAGCTTCTCCGCTCTGCACATGGACAGATGGGGCCTGGGAACTTCCCAGGGCTGCTCCTCACAAGCCGCCTTCTTACCCCTTCTTGCCCCTTCCCTCCCTCTTAAAATACAGGTATTTCGGCTCATAAATAGCTCACCACGTGCTCTAGGACACATCTGCTTGCCTGGCCTTTTGCCAGGGTTAAATATACCCCGCTCTGGACTTGTGCGCAGTAAAGATTTACAATTTTAGGAAATTTCACCCTTAATTTATCCCAAAGGCCCCAAATCGAAGCTCAGCGTCATGAAACCCGCGCCCTGCCCTGCCCGCTGCAAGCAGGACGTGCCCTGGGGCCACGGAGCAGAGGCGCCTCGCTCCCACGGAACAAACCCACCCTTTGCACCCACCGGGCTCTGCCCATCCTCACCGCTGCAGCTTAACTGGCAGAGGAGAGGCCGACGAGGAGGTGGGAATTGCCCAGGGAGAGCTCGGGCAGCCCAGGGAAGGGTGAGGGGATGCCAAGCTCCTCCGCACAGGCCCAAAAGCTGCCGGGAGGGAGACACGGGCACCACGGTACCACGGGAGCATCCCTGCACGCCACGCAAGCCAAGGCCGTGGGGCTGAACTGGGTTTTCCCGGGAATTTCAAAGGGTCTGCAAGCACAGAGCTCCTCGTCCCCGCTCTGCCCGGTACGTTCCCATTATTTCTGTGCACGATCCCGCCGGGACACACAGCTTGGGGACAGACTTTAGGGAGTCACAGAGCCGCTCCACACAGCGCGGGGCTGCCCATCGACCACTCAAACCCGTATTTTGACTCCAGGCTACGTATTACTACAGCAACACTCACCAATGGAACACAATTTAACAACGCGGCTGCACTGATCTTGGGTAGCGCTAGAGCTGCAGGGAGATACGAAACCTTATAAAGGTGACTAAAATCTATATGTTGTTAAATTAAGCACACACACAAGCTGGGTGGTCTAAAAGCAGCCAGATTATGGCCACCTATACAAATCCCCAATAACAGCCGCCAATTAGCGCTTATAGTCTGGAACAAAAACGCGACACCTCTCCCCCTCATGAGAAGCTTTAAATCACAAGCACATTTCACAAATGAGATCGATTGATATGTCCTGGAAATCCAAGGTCGAGTAAAAAATTGGGGAGAAATTACAATTTTTTTTTTTTTAAATGCCAGTTTTTTTCCTGCCTTCTCCGGGCAGTGCCAGGAGCTCCTGAGCATCCTCAGGGCTCACACGAGTGGTTCTGCACCCGAGCGGCTGCAGGGACATCTCATCGCCTGTCCGTGCGTCCATTCATCTATCCATTCATCTGTCCATCCGTCCATCCCACCAACTGCACATTTCAAAGCCGGGCCCCAACCTGTTTCCAGCAGCTCCAGAGGATTCCTCTGTAGGAAAGCAGACCCTGAGCAAGGGAAGCGAGGAAGGACACGTTTGGCCAACACCGCCTCTATGCCCCTTCCCTGTTTGGGGATGCAAGCAGGGCGGAGGGAAGCGCAGCCCAGCTATCCATACTCTCTATAGGCTGTGTTCACTCTCCTCCAGCCGTTTGGGATAACGCTGGGCTGGAGCCGAGGTCTGGGTTGTGCAGAACCACGGGAAGGGCGGACGGGGGGACGCGCTGAGCGAGCGGGGACGGCCGCCGAGCTCACCCCAACCCTGGCTGCATCACCAGGAGCGTCACCTCGGCGCTCTGTGGGCCTTGCAGCCCGTTCCTCTGGGGCCACCTTCAGACACCAGCCGGATCGGGACCTTTAAAAGCAAAATTAAAAGCAACCAAATGGCTTCTCCTCTTTCCTCTCGCGCGACACCTCAGCTGAAAGGTGCTGGGTGAGCAGGGAAGGCCGGGGCAGCCCCATCGCACAGCCCTGAAACTGGAACCAAACAATTTACTAACAGATGTAGCTATAAAAGGCCCCATTATCACTTCGTGCCAGTAACAATGTCCTCATTGAAACCACTTCCCCTGCACAGAGTTTATTTTTAAACCGTGGTGCTAAAGAGAGGAACAGGCCACTGGGGCTGCAAAGACTAAATCTTTTGTTCAAAGTGAGCCTTGTTTGGCATTATCTTGATAAGATAAACCAGGATAATGGCTTTTTCTTTCTCTGCTTTTCTTTGCCCTCTCTCTTTCATTTCAAAGGGAGCAGGAACTGAACCGGAGCACTCTGTAGATCAAAGCTGGGGAGCAGGAGATGTGCGATTCCAGCGGCTAAGGGGACGGGAGGGGGTTCGCCGGGCCTGGGAGAGCAGTGCAGGCTGCAAGGACGGCCGCTTGTGCATGGCACGGCCTGGGTGCTGCCGGCAGCTCTGCCAGCGCCTGCGGCTCCGGGAGCTCCCGCGTTCCCGGCAGGTCTGCAATCCACGTGCCCGGCACCACCGGAGACGCTGCGGTGACCGGGGGCTTCTAACCGCCTCCTTCCCGACAGCACAGGGATGCGCAGCCAAAGGCAAACCGGAGCTTCGGGATCAAATCCCGCGCAGCCTGCACGGCAGGGACTGCGCGGCTCCTTGGGCACCGCAGAGCTGCTCTGCCAACAGTCAATTACTCATGGCGAGAAGGAATCTTTGGAGGGTGAGTCGAGGCTGTCCGAGGTGATCCACAAGCCCTCCAGGCAGGCAGAGCTTATGCAAAGGAAGATGACTCAAAACGAGTGTATAAATACCTGGAAGGCAGAAACAAAAGGGATCAAGGAGGCTCCTTGGAAGAGCAGGGCTGACAGAAATGGGCACAGGAGTCTCCAGCACGGAGCAGAGCTGCGGAGCAGGGGAGCAGAGCTCCGTGTCTCACTCCGTATTGCATCTGCACCCGCAGGGACCAGCACGGAGGGAAGCAAGTGAGCATGGCTCGGAGATCCCACGGAGCCAGATGTGCCTTGGGGTGCCAGCAGTCCTTCCTAAGGACCACAAACCAGCCCGAACCCGCTTGGTCTAGACAGCCAGGTGAAAGAGAAGGCAGGAGTGGGAGAGAAGGGCTGGGGAGGCTGTTTACACAGACTGGAGATGTGAATGCAAACACCAAGCGATGGATTTGCAGCCAGCGGCCCAGTTCCCAGCTACACCTGGCAGGGTTTGAGCTGTTAACTTGGGAGGTCTCTTCCTGTCATGCATGGCAATAAATAAATAAATCCCAATGCAGGATGCATCCAACATGGCCAGTCTGGCACAGCTTCCATTCATCAAAGGTGAAACTCTTAATGCTGGACAGCAAGTAAGAAAGGAGATGGCATGGTCCAGCAATCCTTGGTCGGGCCACACGCTCAAGGCCACTTTGTGAGATGTCACCTACTCTGCAAATCAAGGGTTGCAAGGAAGTTCAAGCAGCCTCTGCTGAGATTTCAAATAGAAACTGGGAAGTCTGATCCAAAATCACAAAAACTCCCGTGAAATGCGCCGAGAGCAGCACTCAGAGGGAGAAACACTGCATAATACATTGCTGCATGTATTTGTAAACAGATCTCCTGTGGGGAATGCATTTTCAAGCTTGCCTTGTCTTGCTTTCCAGACAGACTTCAATTTCTAGTCATCCTGCTTCCTTTTCCTAATCACCAAGTAGTATAATATGTTTACCAAAATACAATTATATGTAGGACGAAGCGAGAACTACAAGGATTTCGCAGGGAGATTTGCACATATGTTTAGCAGCTCTGCTGCTTCACCAGAGGATCTGTCCCTGTGAAGTCAGATGAGCGTTTTCCAGCGAGAACGCCCGCACGCCGGCGGAGCGCAGAGGAAAGCTCTTCCCAAGCACCCGGCTCGTGGCAGCTGGCACCGGGATCTGTTCTTCTGCATAAATTGTGCGTTTGCTCTTAAATGCCAACCTGCATGTTCACACATGGCGTTTGGGACACGTGAACCCACACGAGGTTCCTGCTGAAGAGACACTTGTGCTTTCGGCTGCCCCGCAAGCAGCACCAGGGCTCTTGGGCTCCCAAATACCTGAGAAAGGACGGGGTGCTGCTCCTGCCCTTCCAGCGCTGTGACATCTCCCAGCCAGCGCCATTCCACAAAAATCCCTGCAGGAACCTCCTGAGCTCTTAGCTTAACGGCAAACATACACCTTGGGGGCAGCTTAATTAAAAGGCACCTAATCGCCACCTCCCAACAGCCCTGCTTTGCAACCAGGGGCACCGTGAGGCTTTCGGTGATGCATGAGAAGGGAGCAGGGAGCCAGGAGCTCCCGGGCATCTCCCTATGCGGATCAACCTCTTCTCTCCCAGGCCGAGACACCCAGCGCGGGAGGCACAGGCTGCCCCGTGAAATAATATTTTCCCAGCCGTAGTCCAAGTCTGCTCGTCAATTCGGAGCCTCTTTTCTGCCTGTTTTCCCAAAGCCGGGCAGGAAACAACCCGTGGGCACAAGGGCCCCGATGAATGGGGACATTGTGCTGTGGCGCAGGAGCCGCCGTCCTCGGGGCAACGCGGGTGCTCGGAGCACCCGGGGCTGTGCTGCGGAGCCCGCGATGCTCCCGGACAGACACAATCCCCTGCAGAGGATGCAATGGAAACATAAAGGCTATTGAGCACCCCCGTGCTGCTGAAATTCATGCAAGGAATCGGGCACTGCCGGATTTGGGGGATTTCAATCCTAAAACAGAGCCTTGCCCCAAAGCTACCTTGGTGCATATGTCATTTTTCATCCAAATTACTCGCATCAGCAGAACCCTGCGATGACCAGGTGGCCAGGCCACACATGGCTTAACAAAATATTTCGATGTATTTGTTAAGCTTTTACTCCTTTATAGACACCATCTGCTCAAAGCAATCAACACATTTAACTTTACATCGCTTTTACCCATTTTAACAAGCTTTTGCAACGATCTCTGGAGCAGAAAGAGCAGCCTCTTTCTTTTCAGCTTTCCTAAGGAAAGCTTTTTGGCTTTCCTTTTAGCCATCAGAGCTAAGGATCTGATAGAGGGAAAGCCACGTTCAGAATCTAGGGAGTTTTCTGCAGCTTAGAGGGAAGGAGCGCAGAGCTACAGGGATGGGGATGGGAGCGTCACTGTTACCACCTAGTGTCGGCCGGGAGCGAGGCAGCGGGACGGGGAGCGAGAGTGCAAAATAACCCCCAAAATAACCTGCAAAACAACCCGCAAAATAACCCAGCCCAGCCCTGAGCTGCCCCCATATGGCACGAGAAATAAAACATCCCTAAACAAGGAGCCGTGACTGGGGGGAGCATCCAGTGCAAGGCAGCGGCAGCGGGAAGAGCGAGACGCGCAGGAACGGCGGCCGCACGCCCGGGGGCAGCAGAGAAACGCGGAGCGCGGGCAGGGGCTGCGCTGTGCCAGGACGATGATGCTCCTGCTGCCGGGATGATGCTCCTGCCGACGGGACGATCCTCCCAGAACCAGGATGCTCCCAGGACAGGGATGTTCCTCCCAGGGCCAGGATGCTCCTCCTGACGGGATGCTCCGGCCGCCAGGACTGGGATGTTCCTCCCAGGACCGGGATCCCCCCGTCCTTGCCAATCCTGCACAGCCGTGGGCCGCTCCAGCAAGCGCAGAGAGGGGAGTTTTGTTATCACGGAGGAGCTGCAATTGCCTCCGGAGCCACCACAGCAAAGGCGCATCCTGACCATCCCGGACCCCAACCACTGAGGCTGACCCAAGGGCAATTCCCCTTTCAAACGCACCAAAGGATTCAACTTCATTTCTCACGTGGGCTCTAATCAATGCAAAACCCCCATCAGTTTTTAAGCAATGGGCTTGGGGGTAACGTGCAAGGCGGCCCCACGGACACAGGGACCGGAGCTGCTCTGAGCCGCTGCTCAGGGCGCAGGGCTCCAGCTCTGCCACCGCAGGAGCCACCACCGAGCTGCATCCCCACGCTGCAAATCCCACTAAATTCACGGAGCAGCGGCTGCATGAAGCAATTTTTGCTCTGCCCGCAGATGATGATGATAGGCAGATTAATGGCAATGAAGTTATTTTGTCTCCCTTTGCAGCTGACTAAATTTGCATTGGTATTTTCATGGTACAGATTCCACCTTTCATCTAACATGATTAATGCTGTTGTAAATACAGAGAAAGAACCAGCTGCTTCTGGCTTCTTAGCTTTTACTGAGCAGCTGATGAAAAAAAAAGTCCTTTTGTTAGAGCATCTCTAGAGTCTCTACAGGCTCCATGAAGAGCCTTTTATTTCCAAAGGTCAGAGAAAGGCAGTTTCTACCCTTGGTGCTTTGTGCTTCCCTCGTCACAAATCTGGACCGTGTCTGCTGCCATCAAGGCGCCTGGAGCAGCGCGATCAGAGCGAGCCCGGCCACCAGCGCCGTGCCCGCGTGCCGGGGCGCTGACACCGGCCCCGCTGCCTGCTCGGGCTTCGCTGCTTTGCAGACACAGCTCGTGGGGCTGCAGGAACCGCCAGAGAACATCACGGGGCCCCTCGGATTGTTTAGCCATAACGAGGCAGTTAACGCACAACTGCACTTTTATCGCCCATCCAGAAGGGCCGGGAAGAGCACTTCACTGCACTATCCCAAACTGTATAAATAGCAATGGGGGTCTGGTAAACAAAGGGCAAAGCTGGCAGTGCTGGTGCTCCGCGAGCCTGGGGCACATAGCTGGCTTGCTGAAATCAAGGGATGCACTAAGAGCGCCTTGCGCATCCCGGGCGCGCTTCCCTGCCTGCCGCCTCCGATGCGCACGGATGCCAGGAGTGCTTCCCGGCGGGGCGCTTGGCTTCCAAGCGGGAATCAGCAGCAGCTTGCGGCAGCTGATCCAACGCCCGCGTTTGCATCTGCCCCGCAGAGAAGCACAAACCCCTTTGCACAGCACCGTGCAAGCACCTTGGTGCCGTAAAAACCCGAGCCCGGGCGGCTGCAGGAGCAGCATTCCTGCCGTCCCGCTCCCACTGGGCGCCTCTGCTCCATCCACAGGCTTGCAGAAACTCCAAACAACCTCAGGAACTTCAGCCTGCTGTGGCCAACAAGCACAACCTCTCAACAGCGAGAATTTCTCCTGTTCTTTCTGCCTTCACTGGCACCCACCAGACACGCTCGGGTCTCGCGGCGGCAGCTCCAGCGTCGTGCAAGGAGATGGACCCGGGAGAGGAGCGGGCGCGCGGAGCAGCAGCACCCTTGGAGCTTACCTGGCGCTCTCAAACGTCGCCGACGCCGACTTTCCAACAGCCCCAAATCCAACTCCGACCGCCAGACCCTCTGAAACGGCAGGGAGAAAAACATTCAGTTCACACCCTGCAAGGACCCTGCAGCTCTGTGGTCTGCTCTGTCCCCTGCCCTGCGCTCAAGGGGAGCGAGGACCACCTGAATGTGACAGCACAGCTTGGATGACATTGTCACTCCTTGAATTTTGGCCTCAGCTCTTTGGAAAGCTCTACACCTGCTCTATTTGAGCCACGAGGTGCTTGCGCCCTGGCAAGGTTCGTTTCCCACCACAGAAATAGGAAGCAGCAGCATCCCCATGGGAAGGGCACTGTGCACACAGCGGATTTGCCCTCTTTATAGATACGTGCACGGGTACCACGAGGCACCGCGCGCTCCTGGAGCTCTCCACCACGGAGCCAAAGCAGCGCGCTGGTTCCTTAGGAAGCTACTACTCGCAGAAGAGATTTCTATATTTAATACAGAGTACGCTGGAGGGGAAAGATCACAGTTCCCAGGAGCTTAAGCGCTGTTTTAATAAGGGATGTAACAGTGCAAAACAGCAGAGTCTATTAAAAAAGACTCAGGCTCAGCAAATCTCTGCAGAAAGCCGCCTTTCCCAAGCATGGCAGTGACCAGGGCTGCACCGCAGGGATGAGGTCTCCGGAGAGCAGAACCTCGTGCCAGGGGGATCTTTTTAAAGGGACTTCTGGCTGGGCTTAGCAGGGCAGTGAGGCCCCACGAGCTGCTGGAGCAGCTCCGGTGCCCAAATCCAAGGATCCAATGGGATCCTTTCCCGGGGAAACATGTCCTGGGCAATGAAAAGGCAGCAGATGGTGCGTGGGAAACGGCTCCGGGGAGAGGCGCCGGCGGGAGCGGGGACACGGCAGCGCTGCCCGCAGCCTCCCGCGGCTCCCCGGGGAACCCAGGTGGCTTGGGAGGCCCCTAATGACATTAAATAGAGGCTGCAGGAGCCGCTCAGCCGGCTGCAACGCTTTAATGCGAATATTTCATTTCAGGACAGCTTGCAAATGGTTTGAAAAGCACACGGTAGCTTTGCTGCTTTAAAGATACGGGTTCGGCCTCTCGCAAAGCAGACGTCACTCCTCCGACCTGCTCCAGTTCGCAAATATGCCAGGTTTACCTGGCAAACAAGCAGGAGGAGCTCGCTGTTCCCCCACGGGGCAAGGTGGCAGGAGGCTCAGCCGGCCCTGCAGCCTCTGCCCGGCACCACGAGCAGCCACGAGGAGCCCAAGCTGGGTGGCAAAGGACAAGAGAAGAGAAAGGTTCAGGTTTCTGTGTCATCTCCAGGCAGGAGGCACCTCCTTGCAGAGAAAGAAAAATATGACCAATCATCCCAGCTGCTGTCGAGGAAATGCTTCTATTTAAGCTAAAATGGGGGACACTGCCTCTCTCAGGCTTCCTCGGCTTTGCAATTCAAGATGTCTTATCCTGGAAAGGCATTACCCAGGGATCATAAGCTAATCTGCACTATATGAAAGACCAGCAACAGACCTCTCAGTCTGCACTGTTTTTTGCAGAGACCCATTTTCATCTTCGCTTGTTCTCCGAGAAGAAAATAAGAGAGAAAGGCTGCAATTTCAAGGCCACCAAATGCATCTGCTGCAGGGACGCCGTGATCAATGCCTGGCATCCACAGCCCCCGCCTGGTTACGGGCACTAAACCCACGGGTCTCCCCAAATACCTCACCCTGCATCCGCCCAGGGGAGCCAGGTCGAAGCCAGGGTCCCTCTGGAGCACCATGTGCTGCTGGGGACAGGGTGGGGACAGGCAAGGGACAGTGCAGGCACCGCTGGCGGCAGCGGCTGTCACACATCAGGCTGGACAAGGACAACGTGCACAACATAAAAATAACTCCACGAGAACACTGAGCTAATGCCTCCCTATTGCTTTCAAAAGAAAAAGCTCCCTGCCATAAATCTCTCTTTTTTTAAAGCAGCAATAAAGTTTTAGGCTGATGGAGGCCCCGGGCAGGCGGACTCGCTGCGAGGGGAAGGAAGCGGCACACGGAGGCAGCCCCGGTGCGGCGCACGCGGCTCCTTCGCTCTCCCAAATTCCCAACCTCGTGTCAAAGCGGCCGGCGCAGCCCCAGGCAGAGCGAGCCCATGGCACGAGCTGCCTCCCGCAGCCAAACCCCATCTCCCTGTTTGGGATGCACGGGAGCTGCCACTTGTGTGTCTGACACACGGACACGATGGGAACACCGCGCGAGCTTGGAGAGGAACAACTCACTGCCTGGAAAGTCACTCCTGAGAGTGCCCGGCAGCTCGTGCACGGCCTTTAGAGCTTCCGAGGCCGGGGAAGGAAGTCAATGCCAGTTATTAGCTGGCTCACACACACCAAGAGTGAGAAACAAACGGGTGCGGACAGAACAAGACCCACTGAAATGAAAAAAGGGAAAAAAGATCCTGCTGAAAATAATAACTGTTCAAATTCACTCCTCTCTCCCAAGCAGAATTTCAGGGATGAGGGAAATGTGCCCCGGCTGTCCCAGAGGTTTTCTCTGCTCCAGACGGGAATTGTGGACAGTTGAAGGGACTACAAGGCAGAGAGGGAGCAAAGGGCATTGCCCAAGTGCCCAGAGCCGATTGGGATGAGACGAGCAAGGAGCTTCCTCACGCACGCCGAGCTTCTCCAGCTGCCAAAACGCTGCGTTTCCCTGGGGTGGCCACCTTTGCAGCCACTGTCACGTACAAAACGCTGCCCATGGTCTATAAACGATGCCCAGGAGGTAACCACGCGTTACCCGGCAGCCGGGGCACTCTGGGGCCCTTGGCGCCGAGCGGAGCGGAATGACTTGGAGTGAGTCACCGTGCCCATCCATCAAGGGGCTTAATACAGGCAAAATGTCAAAATATGTGCTGACGGGGCGACGGTTAATGGCAGGTTTATGGAAAGGTTAAAGCAACCTTTCCCAAAGCGGGCGCCCGCGTGGGCTCCTGCTGCACCCGGCGCCGGCCGCTCGCCGCTGCACCAGATGCTCCTGCTTTTGCCCCAAAAACCCAGCTGGCGATGGGCAGCTGTGAAAACTCATTCAAACACGAGTATTTTCTTCCTTTTTAGTGCAGCCTGGAGAGCTGGTCCCAAAGCTAACGGTCTCCTCTGCTCCCTTGAACCCTGTGAGCGATTCAGCTGCACCAAACGGCTGCACAAGCAGAGTGTGTGCAAGGTGCAACCTGGCACCTATGGGTGCTTTCTCCCCTGAGCCCCAGCCTTGCTTTTCACCCTCGTCCTCTGAAATCCAAGCTATAATCAAATCCCATCTTCCTCCTTTTTACGCTGCTAAAAATAAACCCTTTCTGCACAAATCAAAGGTGCTGCAAAACCGTTTCGGAAGAATCATCATGACCAATGCAAACAGCGGGAGAGGCAGTGGGAGAAGGGCTGCTGCAATTCCAGAGGAAAAGAAGTGTATGGAGGAGCTGGATTAATCAACAGAGCCGAGCCTCTCACGTCCGCACGCTCCGTGCAAGGTGCAACAGGCACCCAATACACATTGAATTCAATGGCTGTAGAACTGCCTCAATTTCAACAGACCAACAGCAAAAAACAAACACCCCAAACGATCCTTACAAGCCCTTAATGGATTTTCAAAGAGCATTCAGAGAGACGATCATTTTGCTTTATGCTCCAGACAGTATCCCACGCAGACCTCCCTTGGGAGGCCGGGAGTGCCGATCCCAGGTGACCGGGAACATCCCGGCTCTGCATCCTCCCCCGCAGCGCTACATGTGTCACGAGGCTGGGCGGCCTCGGCTCCGCCTCGCCCCAGCACTTCTTGGAAGAGGCTTTTTCCCTGTTTTCCTGGCGCTGGAGCTGCGGGCACCGCGCTGTGCAAAGCGCCAGCAGCCCAAACCGCGGCGCCTGCCCAGACAGTCATAAAGCAGGAGACACAACAGAGAACACTAAAAATGATTAAAACTGCAGAAAACTGTGAAGACGGGAAAGCACCCAGGTGGGTCTGGATCCAAGCGCGTGGTTCTCCCCACCAGCGCTGTCACCAGCCAAATCCTCACCTTGGGAAAAGCAGCAGGCGGGGTCCTGCTGCCAGCACCGCGGCCTTTAGCCAAACCCTTCCTTTTTTCCCCCAGCTGAAGCTGCTACCAAGCCCGCTCTAAATCCCTTTGACACCTGATGCACCCTGCTGGATGTGCCCGGGTTCCTTGGGATGAGCTATGGGAGCAGCCTTCGCTGCTCCTGGATCCCACTCCTCCCGGAGCATTTGCCAAGTTGCAGCACAGGGCAGCACCACGGGCTCCTTCCCACTACCCCGATTCCCTGATCTGCTCCTCGTAGGGAAGGTCTTGACTTGCTGGCCAGCTCCTGGGAGCAAGAACCAGAGGAATTAAAAATTTGGTGAGTGCCGCAGGAGCGCCGGGAGGATGAGGAGGGGATGCGCCCTGCTCCCGCGGGACCCCAGCTCGCCGCCCGGACCAGCCCTGCTCACCCACCCTGATCCCTGCGCTTCGCTCCTGAAACACAACAGGGAGAGAACTGGGGAACGAGCACCGAGCGGTGGGGCTGCGTACAGGAAAAGGGGTATTTTTTGCAAAAAAAGTAAAGGGGGGAGGGCTGGAGCAAACTGCCTCCCCTCGGTGCGCAGCCAGCGCTGCGGCCGAGCCGGCTCCGCCGCAGCCTCGGAGCGCGCGGCTCTCGGCGGCCTCTCGCCCACCCGACGAGCCCCCCAGCGACAGGAAAAGAAGGGGAATTCAGGGCCTGGTTCCCCTGGCAACGTTATCTGGCTGCAAAGCACCACCTCTCGTCTCCAAGCAACGGGGCATCCCGAGCCCACGAAGCCCAACCGCTCCAAGCAGGAGCAGGAGGCAGGAGAGGCTGAGCTGCCGCCGACTGGCACTGCCAGCCAGGATGCAGAGCTTGCCATGATCCATGATTCGGGAGCACCACCTGGAATGCAGAGCTTGCAATGATCCATGATCCGGGAGCACCACCCGGCATGCAAAGCTTGCCAGCATCCATAATCCAGGAGCACCACTCGGGATGCAGAGCTTGCCATGATCCATGATCCGGGAGCACTACCCGGAATGCAGAACTTGCCACCATCCATGATCCGGGAGCATCACTCGGGATGCAAAGCTTGCCATGATCCATGATCCAGGACTACCACCCGGGATGCAAAGCTTGCCATGATCCATGACCCAGCAGTGACACCCAAGGTGCCACCTTCCAAGCAGAGGAGACTCCCGTGCTCCCACAGCATCTCCACACCATGCATCCATCCCACTGCCCACAGTAGCACCCAAAGGTGTTCTTTGCCCGTCACACATTCCCAAAAACACGACCAGCTCCTGCCTTTGCCAACTTCCCGGGTGAGCTCCTAGGATCCAGCATCTCCGCTCCTTCCTGGGCCAGCACTTTCGAAACGCGCTCATCCCGGTCCCCTTTTCCAACGCCTCCAAGCCCTGTGGAGATCCGCTCCAGCTCCTGCACTGGGATGTGGCCGGGGCTCCGCGCTGCCCCCGCTCTCTGGAACGGGGGCAAGGAGCAGGGAGCTCGCGCCTCGCTAATTGTTATTTGCCATACACCAGTAACGTTTTAATTAATTTCAAGTCCTCGGCATAACAGCCACCCAAGGTACACAGATGAACCAGAATAAACGGGGCTTGATTAAATACATAATTAATGTTCTGCTAAACCCAGTATATATGAATATTAATTAGCGGGAATACTCCGCAGTTTGGCAGCTCCTGTCGTTATCAATTTACTCCTCACACTGCCAGCCCCAGCTTTGAACAAATTCATGGGCAGCTGCCAGCGAGGGGCGGCTGGGGTGGCCCGTGAGGGCACCCGAAGGGAGAGCTGGGGCGAGCTGGGAACAGCGAGCACGGCACACGGAGAGGAACCCGGCAGCGAAGGGGTGCGAGCCCAGCACTCAGGTTCCCTTCCCATTTTTCGCCCAACTCTCAGTCTTTGCACACAGGAGAGGAGGGAATTATTCAGCAGACAAGAGTGCGCAGAACCCTTTGGAAACGGCCTTGGGCAGCTTTCACAACAGGCTCCATGCTAACATCAACGCTCAGAGAAGAGCGGTGAGCATAAAAGGTGGCAAGAGAGCGGCACAGTGTTGCAGACGAGGACACGGAGCAGTTCCACACGGCGGGAAAGGGGCACGGGCCCGGCCGGGGCTTGGAGCGGCTCGGACACACGCAGCGGTGCCTGTTCCCATCTCCATGCACCGGGAACACGACACGCTCGCCAGGGTGTCGTTACAGCGCCGGAGTCTGTGCTAATTATAGTGTCAGCGCTTCCTCTCCCAGGCAGGATAATTAAGGTAGAAGATTACCGTGTTTCCAAACGGCGCGCTCGAGGAAGAAGCCTTGGCAGACTGAGCAAGAGGCGCATGGCGAGAACAGCGCTCTGCGGGAAAGCCAGAGGATTCCAGGGAAAACCGAGCTGGAGCCCATCCCAGAGCCCTGCTGCCACCCAGGGACCCGGCCCGCAGGATCAGCCCTTCCTCCAGTCCCGGCGCTGGAGACACTAGAGCAGCAACTCCAACTAGAGCAGCGTCACCGATGCTGCCACGGGTGACGCGGTGTTTGCTGCTCCGCAGAACTTTTGCCCACAAGCACTACAGGGACACCACAGACATGCAAGGAAATCTACGGTCTCTCCTCCAAACCCCTTTCAGGGGAGGTTTTGCTGCCAAGACCTCGCTTTGGTTCAACCCTACACGCGGAGCCAGACTGAACAAGACGGATCTTGTCCCCGAGGCGCACGGATCCCTGCCGAGCGCCATCTGCGAGCAGCAAACGGGTGACAAGAAGGATGGCAGAGGAGGAGGAAGCTGCTCAAATCCCTCCCAGGAACAGCACCTGGCCGCGGGGCCCATCCCCTGGCCGCGGGGGCCGCGGACAGGGCTCACCTGGGATGTTGTGGATGGTTATCGCGAGGATCATCAGCAGGATCCGCCTCCAGCTGCTGGTGCTGGGCGCGGGGGCCGCGTCTCTGGGCGCCGCCGAGGCCGGGGGGCCGTCGGGGAGGCCGGAGCCCCCCGCTCTCCTCCGCTGATAGGGCTCCCCGTTCTCCCCTTTGTCTGCGGGGCAGAAAACAGAGCTCGGTCAGTTGAGGGATGGACAGAGCACCCTCACACCCTTCCGAGGGAAAGGGAAAGCCAAAAGAAGGGAAACCCAATGCTGGCAGCACAGGGAGGCGGCCGAGCCACCAGCCCCTTCCCCTGTGCTTTGGATTTGGCCACCGTTTCCCCCAACGCAGCCTTCAGAGCCAACGTCCAGGCGCCTGGAAAACCATGGGAGGGGGCCGGAGTGCCGAACCGCCCATTCCTGGGCGCTGGGATTGTCCCCATCGCTCCCAGGGAGCCCTTCCCGTGCTCCTGGGCACCAGCGGCAGCTGGGGAGCAAAGCTCAGTCCATGGCTATCAAACCACCCTGCTGTCCGCATGGCAGCCGGGCACCGCACGACACCCGTGCCAGGTGTCTCTTGAGCTTTATCCCTTGGGACACCCAGGCGGAGCAGCCAGAGCCACTGGAACAAAGCTTGGGAATGAAGAAAGGCAACTTGAGCCCAGCAAAGTATCACCTCGGGTCAGGCCACGCAGCGGCTCTGTGCAAGCCCTGCAGCTGCCTGCTGGAGCAGCGCAGGGAAAAGGCAGAGCCTCCCATCAGCGCCTTGTTTTTCTGAGCCCCCGACACTGCAGCGTTATCACAGCAGGACCGGGTGCCCAGCGCATCTTCCCCTGCGAGCTCAGCGCTCCCTTATCTGCCTCGCAGCTGCCCCAGCACGGGCAGGATTAAGCGTGTGCAAAGCCGCTCTTGCAGCCGCAGACCTGGAGCCGGGAGCCTGTCTCCCGCCCAGCTTTTGTGCCGCCAATCCTCCCGGCTACAGCAGGACCCCACAAAACGCAGCGCTAAGGGGTTATCCATGCACATCCATGCACAGGGTGCTGGCCACGGAGAGACGTCCTGCTCCTTGGGAGCTGCTGCCTTCCCGATGCCACTGGGCCAGCCCGCTGCGCAGCCCCCGACACGGCTGCCCCACGTCCCACTTCCTTGGGACAGGATTTTGCTAGTAGGAGCAAGCCAAAAAATCAGAAACCTCACCCTAATGCTTAAATAGAACTGATAAAACAAAAGTCATCGGCAATTCCAAAATGCAGCGCTCGGCGTCCGAGCAGAACCACTTTGCTTTGGCTCCTGCTCTTTGCTCTGGCAAACTCAGAGACACCCGAGAGCACTGGAGCTCTCAAGGCTTTGGGACGGGTTGTTTATGTGGCTTTTTGTTGCCCAATTCCAGTAGTCCCTTCTTATTTTCCTTGCCCGTGGATTTTATGGGATTGCCAATAAAGCAAGCGCTCTCTGCGGACTCCTGCTGCAAACCAGAGCGAGGCTTTTGCTCGCGTTTAAACTTCAAAGGACGGATTTTCCGGCTTCCTCTTCCAGGCTTTGATCTGCGCTCCCTGGACGCTTGGCTGCGGGTGAATTTTTACTGAGAAAAAGCACATTTTGCTGAGTGGGGGCAGCAAGCACCAGGGGAAGGTCCCAGCAAAGGGCCAGCCACCTTCGCCCAAACCAAGAGCCCCAACGGCGCCAGAGGGACGTGGGCACCGGACGCCCGCGTTGCTACAGGACTGGGGCTTCAATTCCCAGGGTTAATGGAAAGATCCAACGAGCCTGGTAAGGGACACGACCGACAACGTTCATCTCTTGTGTTTCCTTTTTCCTCCCGCATGGAGCCCGCAGGACGCCCGCAGGCACCGCGGTTCCAGGCTGATCACACGCGGTTTGCTTCACTTCTTTCATCGCTTTGGCCTCCCTTTCTTTCAGGAGCCCACGAGGGCTTTGTTCGCTCTTCAAAGCGGTGCTGGGAAGAGAACGCGCTGCATCCGAGCCCACCGCGGCGCAGGATGGTGGAGGATCTCACACAGCAAAACTGAGCTCTCTTAAGAAAACTAACCTTTCCAAGAAAGCTCAGTTATGAGATCAGCTACTCCTGCTCCGCTGCAAACCACCCACTTGGGCAGCTCTCACTCCTCCTTATCCAGTTCCCACAAAAGACTCATTTCACAGTCCCGCTGCTCCTTGCCCTGCTCCTGCCGGCACGCAGCGCAGGCTTTATGGGACGCTCACGGGAGAGCAGGATAGCTCAGTGCGAGCACAACAGCGCGCGCCCGTGCAACTCCACAGCGCATTAGCAGAGGAAAAAGCAGCGATGCCAGAAGCAAGGACACAACCCGAGCACCATTTCACCACCTTGCAATATCACATAGAGCAGCAAGTCCATGGAGAGCATCTGGTTCACGCAGACGAGGTGCATTTTCAGCAGCACCGGGGAAGAACAGGGCGATTGGGGTGGGCGGCCGGGAGCAAACGCGGCCCCGAGCGCTCCCAGCTGCACAGGCTGCATCTTGCACAGACCGGCGGGAACAAAACAATAATTATGGCTACACGCGGACTTGGCCGGGAATCAGGAAAGCCTCAATAGTCAATCGGAACAGTGATAAGAGTGAAACAAAGCGGGGGGTTCAATAGCTGACACAACTAGACAAGGGAGCTTGCAAGAGCGCTGCCAAGCCCGGCGTATGGCAAGCAATAAAGCGTGCCACATACGTTATTTTAACTCCTGTTCACAAAGAAGCCTCTAAATATTCTACATGATTTATCATTATTGAATTTCTTAGCAAAGCTGCGGGGCAGAGATTCTGCCAAAAGTCTAATTATATATGTGCAACCTACTGCATTTTTCATATCCTCTGCAGCCAGCACTGGAGAAAGATAAATGGCTTTGAGCATGGCTTAAGCTGCTGGCGAGTTGTAAAAACCAACCAACTTCTTATCAACCTGTGAAATGGCTTTTTATTTTTGATTATTGCTTAATGAAAGCTGTTTGCATTAGCTGTGAGCCCTCATCTACTGCATCTGCAGGCGGTGCCTGGGCAGACCAGCCGCCCGCTGCTCTCCAAGGGCTCTGCTCCGTGTTACCTCCCGACTTGAGCCCCAAATCGCAGAGGTAACAGATTCCTCCTGCTTTGCACCTCTGCTTGGAGGTCTCCTCCTCGTCCCCTGCAATTCGTGCTGGGCTCGGCCGGGCCTCCCTCCTGCTAAACTCACAAATGCTCAAGCTCAACGCAGATCCAGCACTGCTTAAATGCCCCCCGCGTGTCCCTCTGTCACCGCAGGGAGGGTTGGCTCCCGGGGACTCCGCTTTGGGAGAGCGCGGGAGATGGAAGCGGAGGCAGCGCCGGGCGCTGCTGGACACGCTGCGGGGTAACTGCGCCCACGAGGGGCTCGTGCAAGGTACGGGGTGCTGCGGCTCGCAAGGAGGGGCAGAGGAGGCAGAGGAGAACAACTTTCTAAAAAAAAGTGTTTATATACTATATACTATATACTATATACTATATACTATATACTATATACACACACACACTATATATATATATATATATATATGATATAAACGATAACACAACAAGTTGACATCTCTTCTTGAGGCACAGAAAACAATTGCGTGCTAGACTCTCTGCCCTACCAGCCGAGATAAATCAGAATTACTCGGGAAAAGCCTCCGATTCCCCGCGGCCCCGTGGCCAAGCCGAGCCGCTTGCAGCAACGCCCGCCTACGCCGCGAGGGCAAAGCCATTAAAGCCATTAAAGCCATTAAAGCCGGCACTCCGTGAGCTCCGTGTGCCTCGCCAGCCTCCACTAGCTCCTGGAAGCGGCACCAAATGCTCCGGTTGGGCTCCGGTCCTGCAGCACACGGGCTCCCGCTTGGATTTAGCTTCCCCATGGAGCAGGTTCTATCCTGGGTGCTGCTCACCTGGAGCAGCGCGAGCCGTCAGGATGCAGAGCGGGTGCCGGGAGCACAGGCTGCCTCTTCCTTCACTTGGGAATTTGGGTCAGAAGGACGAGGAACGGCCAAAACCTCCCTGCTCAGCAATGAAGAGGGTTCCAGGCCGTATCCTTGGGCGGGAGCAGCCGCGCGGAGCTCGGTGTAATTACATGCACAAGGTCCTTTTAAGGAAGCCAATTTGTGCAACCTTCCAAGAGCTCTTCAGAGAGCTCCCAGTAGATGAAGCGCCTTGCTGAATCACTTTACGCTGAGATTTTACACGTTCGAGTTAATTTAATCACTTCATTTCAGAGGGCTGAGTGGCGCCTGGCTCTCTGATCCCTGCCAGGGAGCAGCCGCTTGTCTCGAGATGTGATGGATTTCCCAAAACACACAAAAAATGCATCTCATTACCTGCTTGAAAGGAAAAAGGGGCTTTTTTCAGGAAACGAGAAGGGATCCGGCAGCCTCTTCACCCAACCAAGGAGCCGCCAGCCCGGGGGGTCCTGGTCCCTCCGTCTCCCTCCTGGAGGGATTTGCTCCAGGTGCATTTGCTGTTTGGCAGCTTGGCATGTGCTTCAGGACAAGATTATTGCTTGTGGGACATCACGGGGTCCCTTTCCCATCACATCATCTCCCCTGTCGCCGCTGTCACCAGCTCCGCTGGTGCAGAGCGGAAGGCACCGGTCCCCCTGGAGCCGTCGCCTCGCCCGCTTGAGCAACGAGGCTGCTCTCGTGCACTGCAAAGTGAAGGGAATAAATCCGCCGGTTCTGAGGAAAACAAATGAAGCGCCCGCGGCGCAACGCGGCGCGACCCCAGGTCCTGGCGATCAATCCCGCTTCCCGCTGCATTTTGGCTGCTACTCCAGCAAAATCAAAACCACCGGGCTGCTCCCAGCAGCCCCATCGATCGCCCCACGCTCTCCCACTGTGCCAAGACGGATAAATTGGGGAATGTGAGGTCAGGACAGTTCGGCTGTATTTTTTTCCCTTCTTTTTTTTTGCAGACAAGGCAGATTTCGAGCAGCTCGGGGTCCACAGGGCCAGGGCTCCGCGCAGGAGCCACATCCCGCGGGAGCAGGGACGTGACCCAGAGATGCTCTGGGGCCGGGGCAGCAAGAGGCGCCTTCCCACGCTAGCAAAACCCTCCTTTTCTCCCCTGTCCTCCTCACGAACAGCACTCTCCACCTGATATTCAGTTCCTAATCCTGCTATTGCAGAGAGCCCCCAGGGCTGGCCCTTCCTCCAATG